TCTTTCTGCTCCTTTTCATTTAACTATGTTGTGATTGTCTTTTTGACACAATGATGTTGTATTATTAGTTTGTTCTTTTATTAATTGTTAGTTTTATTATTTGTTTGTTGAATGAAATAAAGTTCTAAACTAAACTATATCCACCCTGAAGGTTAATCTTGGACAATATCTGATGATCGACTCTTTTAAATGAAACCAGAGAGCGTTGACAGAGAGGAGAAGGTAGAAATGACTCAGCCTGGAACTGAAAATATGGATGGAGGACAACAGAGCTGCTTCATGGAAGAACAACCTCTGATTAGCCTGCTAGCCTTTGTGCCAACACTATTGCCTTATATGTGTTAAGAAACTGTTGTCCTCCATCCATATTTTCAGTTCCAGGCTGAGTCATTTCTACCTTCTCCTCTCTGTCAACGCTCTCTGGTTTCATTTAAAAGAGTCGATCATCAGATATTGTCCAAGATTAACCTTCAGGGTGGATCAAGTGTTTTACTTTTTAAATTTTCATTCCAACTAGCAACCTAACAGATTCCTGTTTTGTTATATTTTATAAATATGTCCAAGTTTAATAATGTGAGAGAAATCCACAATTTTCTGTTTATTCAGTATTGTTTAATACAGCTGGAAAAATAAATTGTATAAAATATGATATAGTACTTTTTTAATTTAGTGTAAAAAATGAGCCCTTCATGTTGTAGAAAGACTGTTTATTCAAGAGAAATGTCAGGTTTTTTAGGAAAATGGCTGCTAATCAATCGTTAGTTGATCAGTAAGATCAGTCAACCTTAGATGAATCCATTAATCAATAACTTGCATCCCTAATCTGGTCTTGTTTAATAATCTAATAAAGTTTAATCTTCAGATTAAAACAGTTTAAAATAAACAGATTGTTTCTGATCAAACTTGAATATGTGTGTTTTCAGGACGAGCACATGTCAAAGGCGAAGGTCAGCGACGTTCTGTCTGAGATCTTTAAGAAGATCGGCTCCAAAGAGAACACCAAAGAGGTCTGAGGTCCGTCTTCTTAAACCCAGCAGAACCTGAGAGGAGTTCTGAGGTTGTGTTGTCCTCCTCAGGGTCTGATGGAGCTGTACGAGTACAAACAGAAGTACTCTGACGCAGATCTGGAGCCGTTCCTCAAGAACACCTCGCAGTTCTTCCAGAGCTACGTGGAGCGAGGCCTCCGCATGATCGAGTGTGAAAGGGAGGGCAAGACCCGCATCCAGAGCTCCTCAGGTCCGAGCAGAACCTTGATCCTGCGGGGTGTCAGGAGTGTGTTCTCACTGTGTGTGTGTGTGTGTGTGTGTGCGCAGTGATCCCGCAGCACGGCGTGGACTCCAGCCTGAGCAGCAACAACGAGGAGCTGAAACCTGCCGTCTACTACGAGAGGCTGAAGATCCTCCGACAGAGACAGGGACTGGAGAACACGTCCAGGGTCAGTCTGTCCTCACACACCAGGTCCACTTCAGACCGGTCCTCGGGGTTCTCAAAGAACTGGACCCTGTTCTGTTACAGAACTAGATAACAGGCCTCATGCAAGAACCGTTGGTACAGATTAGTTTTCAGGTGTGTGTGTGTGTGTGTGTGTGTGTGTGTGTGTGTGTGTGTGATTTAGAACTTATTTTTCACAAGGTGTCTCTGATTCTCAGATTTTCTTCAGATATGAATAAAAGTCAGAAGTGGAGCACACCTGTGGTTTTTTTTACCTGCAGTCAGTCTGATGTCATCAGATGGATTTTCTTCACTAATAACTTTATTTTATTAGTTTGAAGATATCTAGAGTTAAAAATAAATCACACTCCATAATTATGTTGACAAGAGGCTATTATGTAACTAACAACATAAAATGGTTAAATTAAAGTGTAACTTACCCCAAAATCAACTTTTTTTAACAAATAAACTGCCCAAATTGTGTCTTAAGGGTAATACCTTGCTATTTTTGACCTAAATTTAACATTTTCGTCTAAAATAGTTTAAATCGTCGATATTTGGTCAAAAACGGCTTGGTACTGCCATCTAGAGGTTTAAAAAAGACTTCCACGTTTGAAGTACTTTGTGACGTGTGGTACAGCGTGACGTGTCACAGTACTGTGCTCATATAAAAGGCTCTCTGTAGAGACGCCCTGCAGAGATTCAGGAGTTAGCCATAGCATTGTTGATGGTAGCTGTGGTAGAAGCTGTCTTCTCCTCAGCCACAGTGAAAACATGGAGTCTATCAGTCATAAAACAAACTGAATTAACTTACACATCCTCTTTGTGCTTCAAGAGTTTTAAACTGTGGTTGTTGTGTCACGTAGTTTAGATCGGGCCAAAAATACACACACCCTCGCACGCACATATTGTCCCCACATGTGCAATAAAACATGTCCACACACACACACACACACACACACACACACACGGCTCCACATAATAATAATAATAATAATTATTATGATTATTATAGATCATAGCCACAGCCTTACTGTGTTCAGGAAAGAATAAAAGAGTTGAAGCTCAGCGACTCGCTCCGCCATAWGTGCMCATAAACCAGAGCATGAGCCTCCGCTGCTGAGGGGTTTTCCACATCAGGATGTCCGGACCCCTGCAGCAGGTCCGGACCCCTGCAGCAGGCAGCAGGAGGACAGAAACTTACCTCGAGGCAGAGATGGAAAAAAAAGACGTGGATGTCCATGATCAGCTCTTCAAACTGCTCCTGAAAACTTTTCAAGCAAGTCCTGGTACGGACCGGTCCGAACAGAAGTTACAGAACCGGACAGTGACTGCTCCGTGCGGTCCTGCTGTCACAGAACCGGACCCTCGCTGACACTCACCGCTGCTCCAGGTTGCAACTTGCTCCGTGTCAGAACATCCAGAACATCCACAGGTATTGTCCCCACGAAGACTAAAGATGCTGAGGTCTTTATAAACTTAGGAACATTTTAGCTGTGAGGATTAAATTAAAACGGGATCACATCAAATGGGATTTAGCCTAAAATATACGTCCGGTTGGATTCGGATCACCGTAGCGTTTTTTTTTTTTTTTAGTCCTGATCTAAACTCTAGGTGAAACAGCAACCTTTTATTTGTTTAAAATATATATTTAACCACAAAGAGAAGTTAATTCAGTTTGTTTTATGATGCCTCGCACTGCAGCAGCGGAGTTATCCTTTCACAGGGGGGTAAGTTACACTTTAAATTAAATTGGCTATTAACGCTGTTGGATAACACTACAATATTAAAATGAAGTTAATTGAACTTTGGAGACATTTTAAAATGCTTTTAAAATTTTTTTTCAGAAATACATCTGACACTGGGGGGTGGGGGTAGCGGTGTGCGACTTCTCTTCTGAATAAATGAAAACTATGCAACACAGTTGTTTACACTTTAATGAAATATATTTGACCAAAGAAAACCCAGAGAAGGACTGCAGAGAGATGAATATGATTTAGATTTTTATTTCTGTGACAGTATACGACCCACAGGAGACACGTCATTAACAGTCATCGTTTCATTCCTCAGCTTTAGCAGGTCTGACACTGCTAAAAATAATCATGTTTCCATCCAGTTGCAGAGTGAATTTTTATCGAACTTTTCAAAATTCACAAAAAATTTAATAAATAAAAATTGTAATCTAGACTGTTTCCATCTAGTTTCCCTCTCGACTGTTTGATGTGAATAAATGAGGCTACGCCACGCGTGACTATGTCAGAAAAGTCTACGCCACGCGTGATTACGTCAGACGAGTCTACGCCACGCGTGACTATGTCAGAAAAGTCTACGCCACGCGTGACTATGTCAGACGAGTCTACGCCACGCGTGACTACGTCAGACGAGTCTACGCCACGCGTGACTATGTCAGAAAAGTCTACGCCACGCGTGATTACGTCAGACGAGGCTACGCCACGCGTGACTACGTCAGACGAGTCTACGCTACGCGTGATTACGTCAGACGAGTCTACGCCACGCGTGACTACGTCAGACGAGTCTACGCCACGCGTGACTACGTCAGACGAGTCTACGCCACGCGTGACTACGTCAGACGAGTCTACGC